GTGTTTTATTATTTCTCTCTACAGGTGGAAACTTGTATGCGTTTTGGTTATACATAAATAAAAATGAAACCGGAGTATATCTTATCAGTTTTGGATCATAATAGGAAATATAAAGTAACAATCGGTAAAATTCTATAAGTTTATTTAGTGGGAGGTTTTGATTTGTCAGTTTAGAAAATAAAATAAAACCGTGATCTACCGACATTGGGTTAAAACTAATGTATACTGATATTTGAGATCTGTATCCTAAGGCTTTAACCTAATGTTCTGTTTGATAACTGTTGTATGTGGGATAAACTTTGTTTTAATACCTGTGTTCATGCTATTAAATCGAAGTGAATTATAACTCACGAACCTAGTTCTATAAAAGTAAAATAGCGTCATTTCCTAGGGGCACGTTTCCGGCAAAGTATATTTATTAGAAACGGACTTTGTAAGTTTTCTTTTACTTATAAAACCGGAAGTTACAAAACAAAATGCAAAAGTCTTTTCCATCTTATGTGTTTTTCAGATAAAAAACAATTCTCGAAGCTCACTACAGGAAGTAATTATAGGATTAATCATATGTGTACATATGCTGTAGAAAATTAATTTGGAACCGTAATAAGATGACGGATATTATTAAACCTATCGGTAACGAATTATATTTTCCTGTCATAAGACCGGAAGTGCCTTTTTTCTGCCAGATTGTGCAGCTCATTCCTAAGATAAGATCACTTGTCAGATGATGCTTTTTTGCTCTATCTATAAATATGGTTATGTAACATAAGGATTATTTGTGTGTGGAAACATATATACATACATTTTGTAAAATATTTTAGCTAAGACTAGAAAAGGTCCTTTAGCATTGAAGCTAGAGAGTTCTTAGTATTTTAGTAGCGTACAGAATCTATTTAGAAGTTTTATTGTAATGTCTGCAATAATTTATTTTAAAACTTCTTTTAATTAATTATAATATTTTTAAAGTAAAGTGCTTATACGGAATATTTCATGAATACGCAAACACCATTGATATTCAAATTTGAGCACTGCTCGAAGAAAATCGTCAGAGTTAGTTTGGGGCAAATTAAAATAGTCGACTCACGAAATCTCAACTTGTTTCGGGTTTTGAGCAAGTCAGATTGATCGTAACTTGAGTTTGAGATTTGGACCACTATGACATAGTTAAGTTTGAGATTTGGAACACTATGATATAGTTAAGTTTGAGATTTGGACCACTATGGCATGGTTAAGTTTGAGATTTGGACCACTATGACATAGTTAAGTTTGAGATTTGTATCACTATGACATAGTTAAGTTTGAGATTTGGAACACTATGACATAGTTAAGTTTGAGATTTGAAGCACTATGACATAGTTAAGTTTGAGATTTGGACCACTATGACATAGTTAAGTTTGAGATTTGGACCACTATGATATAGTTAAGTTTGAGATTTGGACCACTATGATATAGTTAAGTTTG